CCACCACAAATAAACACAACTTCCCTTCCAGAGTGAAAGAAAACAGATGCAATAATTTTGCATCTCTAGACAACAACAATACTTGCTATAAGCAATTACCTGGCGAAGAGAAGGGTTGAAATTTCATCATCCTGACTCCAATAGAGGGTTTTGAAGGGAGAGGGAAGAGACGTAGACCAGGCAGATCCACCTGTCCGGAGTTCTTCGACTCCACACGAACCCGAAAAGCAGTAGCTGTTGGCGCCATTCGATTGTTGGTGCCTCCCGAGCTGCTGGACAAAAAGGCCCCCGAAGAACGTGGATCAGATGCCAGGGAACTCAGCGATTCTAATTGAGGCGTCAGAAGCAACAATTGGTCCTCTGTTTGATCGGTTATATCCAGCGCTTGGAGGCGCTTTAACACCTCAGCAATGATGTCGTCCTAAAAGAGATGCACTTCAAAACTCTCCCTCACACAAGAAATGATTGTCAATTTCGGATGTGTGCTTTCTTCCCCAAACAGACGAATTGGAACTGTTATGGGCGTACATAGATCCTGAAAATACATGCGTAACAGATGCTCCAAATCTTCTTCTTACCCAATGTTAGGCATGAAATCTCCGAAGAAAGTGAGTATCAATCACCTTGGTTTCATTAGTAAAGCAAAAGTAGGAAGAGAGAACATGAAATTCCTATTTCCTTATTCATGACGTCATAAATGTTCTCTTTACATAAGACGATCCAACTCATATTCCCTTAAAAGGAGTGTGCGATAGACTTACCTCCACGTGGTGCACCCTGGGCAACGTATACTCATACGGCGAAAAAGTCTATTGACCGGCAGTCGACTTTTCACTTTCAACTACCATCACCCCACTGCATTTCATATTCGACTACTCTGTGAAGCCTGAAGTCAACTAAAGGGCTAATGATAACCATCAAGCCTGAAGTCAGCTAAATGGCTAATGATAACTATCAAAACGCCTCCTGATAACTATCAAAACGCCTGTCATTTCTGCTTCTTTGATGAACCTTCCCTCTGTAAAGCCCGAACTATGCTACTTTGATGAACCTTCCCTCTGTGAAGCCCGTAGCTCTTTTTGTCACCTTGATGTTTCTCCTCCTCTCTATGAAGACCGAAGTCAGACTTTGATGTTTCTTCCACTCTGTGAAGCCTGAAGTCAACTAAAGGGCTAATGATAACCATCAAGACGCCTGCCATTTGATAAAATAACCCTTCCATAAATACGGGTATTCTAGAAAGGCTATGTTAGTCGAAAATGTCCCCGGCTTTCAGGAAGTCTTAGGAAGAAGGAAGTAGAACTAGCCCTTTACTAATGTGTCTAACAACTTGCCTCATTTCTTAATTCAACACCAAAGACATCCTCTTCGTGAATAAGGAGAAAGGTGGTCGGAATCTCAAGTCCAGTTTTGCTACATTCAGTGCTCAATTCCATGGGCCTGTTATCTGCGTTAAATTTGACCAAAATGACATAAAGGTCACCACTCAGAGCTCTCGCCAAGATAAACCAAAGGTCTTTGTTTAGTAAAATTGACCAAAATATGCCTCTCCTCTTCAAATTAGAGAATTAACCAAATTTATGGCAAAAGAGAGTCGGACTTACAGGAGGAATAGGATACCAGGGGTGCTCATTCTTCCTCATGGAATTTCGAATCAATTGCCGCTCTCGTAGATGCTTCAGCAGTTCATCACACAGTTGTCGAGGTGTTGCTCGCGGCTGCTGGATAGAATCTGTAAGACTCTCCTCAAATGGATCTTTAACTAGGAAGTTGTTAGTCACGTCTACAAGCATCTTGACAACATTTTCCAGGGAACCAGGAGCCAGACTCTGATGCAAGGCCGCTAGAAGAACTGCGTCGTTAGAGAATGCGTCGCCAATTGGGGATCTAAAAAAGTATTGGGAATCCCAGCTCCTAAAACTGCCGATTTACCACGTATTCGAACGATTAACCTAAAGTCAGGCTAATCGGCTCAAACTAGATTCAAGGAAGTGATCTACCCACTGACGTGACGATATGTGGTACTGTATGGCACTGGTCCAACGAGCCAACAATGCGAAGCAGAATCATCTTCTAACCATATCGTTTGACAGACCCACTCCTCCAACCCCCCCCCCCCACCCCACCCCAGTATGG